TATACCCTCCAGCAGTGTGATAATCACTCACTGGGGGCGTACAAGTTCCGTGCTTTACAAACTATGCATCACAAGACCACCACGAGATCTGCAATTTCCAAGCAAACAATTCGAACTCCATGATGTCTGTCGTGCTTACATTAAGGTCACAGGTGCACAATTTCAATACAAATCGTTCAAAGTGTTTTCCATAATGTTCAATGAATCATTCATATTATACTCTTTGTTCTAAACCCTGATTAATACAAAAAACTTTTCTAAGTTAACTCTAGGTTTACTGACTCCTAATATTTTTAACGATTAATATTATCAACTTAACACTATACTATAATCTATAAGTTTACTTAAATGACTTAGCTGTTAGTTATACTATTATCCTATTACGATTTAACGTAATGCCTTATAACTCAGTTAAAACTTATTCTTAAACTACCAAACTTTACTATAATTCATGAGTTTCATATGTCTAAACTTTAATTTTTATATAATCTAATGATTGACCTTTAATACTATGCTATATCCTACTAAGCTAATACCTCATCATTAATTCTTTCATAAATCGTATAGTAACTATTACACTTGAATAATGTAGCAAAAGGAAACAAAATAGCAAGCGTAAATTTACGCAACTATGAGTGTATGTGTATATATTTTATCCTAACAAGTCTACTCTAAAAATCAAATAGTAGCTGTCACACTCTTGAACAAGGAAATGCATGGCTGCCAAGATGGCGGCCATGGGCTGAAGCAGACAGAGTTTCGGTAATTAACGAAACAAAAGAAAACATTCTGCCTGGCTAGGGGTAGGGCGACAAAACTATTTAGTTTCTAATTTTAGCCCTAGGGGAAACAGCTTTTGGGAACAAGAGCTGACTACCCAGTCTATCAGGAAATAGAAGTTAAAAAATATCTAGAAAGAAGTAAAACTTAGAAAGACAGAGAAAAATAATTCTGCTATGCACTTTCCATCAGGTGTATTGAGATTTACTTATAAGTTTTACTGCCATGTATGCACACTGGTCACTAATCACACGCCAATATTATAGGTATAACTGATATCCTATGTCAGAGGCGATCTTCCAGATGGGCCTTTACAGGCCTCAGCCATGTAGCTATAGATGTTGGCTCCCAACAGTTTATAGTTTTCAGAGTACAAGTTTTACATGTTTATTTTTATTTTTTATTATTTATTTATTTTGAGTCATAGCCTCAGTCTGTTGCCCAGGCTGGAGTACAGTGGTACACTCACAGCTATCGCAGCTTCAATCTGCTGGACTCGCAATCCTTCCACCTCAGCCTTCCAAATAGCTGGCACTGCACACACGCACCACCACACTCAAGTAATATTTTTTGATTTATTGTAAAGATAAGGTCTTGCCAATTGCACAGACTGGTCTCAAAACTATGGACTCAGGTAATCCTCTAGTCTTAGCCTCCCAAAGTCCTGGGATTACAGATGTGAGCCACAATGCCTGGCAAGTTTTGCACTTTAAAAAAATTTACTCCTAAGTATTGTATTCTTCTTCTAGTATTATAAATGAAATGTTTTTAAATTTCATTTTTGGGTTGCTCATAATAATATATATATTTTTAATATTAATCTTGTATTCTGCAGCCATACTGAATTAATTTGTTAGCTATAATTGTTGTTTTGTGTATTCTTTACATGTTTATACATATAAGATCATGTCATCTGAGAAAATGGAAGTTGCATTTTTTTCCTCCTTATCTGGATCCCTTTTGTTTCTTTTCTTGTTTTTTTTTTTTTACCCCCAATTGCCTTAGCAAAAAACTGGTGAAATGATGAATAGAAGTGCCAAGATCAAACATTTCTTGTTTTGTTTCAGATCATAGAAGGAAAACTTTCAGTCTTTCACCATTAAGTATGATATGATTAGGTTTTTCCTAGATGTTTTTTCTCAGGTTGAAGAAGTTTAATTCTTAGTTGATTGTTTTTATCATACTGGTGTTGGTTTTTGAAAATTGTTTTCCTGCATCAGTTTTTTTTTTTTTAAACTTTTAATTTAATTTAATTTAATTTATTTATTTGTTTTTGAGTTGGAGTGTCACTCTATCGCCCAGACCAGAGTGCAGTGGCTGCTCCCAGCCACCGGCAGCCTCAACCTGCTGGGCTCTAGCGATCCTTCTGCCTCAGCCTTCCAAGTAGCTGGAACTACAGGTGTGCGCTACCACGCCTGGTTAATTTTTTTTTTTTTTTTAATTTATTGTAGAGATGAGGTCTCGCCAAGTTGCCCAGGCGGGTCTTGAACCCGCGGGCTCAGGCAATCCTCTGAACTTGGCCTCCCCAAAGAATTTTTAAAATTTTTTTATTTTAAAGATGTGGGGTACAATTTAGGGTTAGGTATACAAATATTCATTATGCAGGCACCCTTGTTGATGAGGTGTGCTCCCCTCTCCCATTATTGTCAGTCCCACTCCCTTTCTCCCTGCCCCTCCCCCCAGCAGTTTGCCACTACTGCCAGTCCTGATACTCAGTTCTTTTTTTCTGTGTTAGAGCACTCAGTATTATAGACTCTAAGTCCATCCAAGTTGTTGTGAAGTTCATAATTTTGTCCTTCGTTTTGGCTGTGTAATATTCCATCATGAATATGTACCACATTTTGTTTACCCAGTCCTCTTTCGATGGGCAGCATGGTTGCTTCCATGTTTTTGCTATTGTGAACAGTGCTACAATAAACATACATGTGCAGATATCTTTTTCATAGAGTGATTTGAGTTCCTCTGGGTGTTTTCCCAGTATGGGGATTGTGGAGTTGTATGGAAGATCAATTTTTAGAACTTCTAGGAATCACCAAACTATTTCCCACAGAGGCTGTATTGGTTTACATTCCCACCAACAGTGTAGAAATGTTCCCTTTTCCTTGCATTCTCTCCAGCATCTGTTGTTTTTTGAGTTATTAATGATGACCATACTGACTGGAGTTAGGTGCTATCTCAGTATGGTTTTAATTTGCATTTCTTTGAGACTAGTGAACCTGAGCATTTTTTCCTGTATCTGTTGGCTGCTTATATGTCGTCCTTTGAGAAGTGCCTATTTATATCTTTTGCCTACTTCGTAATTTTTTGGCACGTTTGAGATCCTTATAGATCTTACTTGTTAGACCTGTATCAGACATACAGTTGGCAAATATTTTTTCCCTGTCTGTGGGCTGTCCCCCAGCTCTCTTGATGGTTTCTTTGGTTTTGCAGAAGTTTGTCAGTTTGATGAGGTCCCACTTGACTATCTTATCTCTTCTGGCATGGGCACTTGGGGTTTTAATCAGGAATTGGTTGCCAGTTCCAATTTCCATAAGGGTGTCTCCTGATTTTCCAAGGTTCTTATAGTTTGAGGTTTTACGTTTAGGTCTTTGATCCATTTAGAGTTATTTTTGTGTATGTTGATAGGCAGGGGTCTTGTTTTAATCTTCTGCATGTGGTCAGCCAGTTTTCCCAGCACCATTTATTGAATAGGTTCTCCTCTCCCCAGTGGTTGGTGGTGGAGGCTTTTTCCGGGCTGTTTTGATTATTGTTGCTTTATAATAAAGTTTAAAGTCTGGGAGTGTGATTCCTCCTGCTTTGTTTTTGTTTTGTTTGTTTGTTTGCTGAGGATTGTTTGGGCTATTTGTGGCCATTTATTTCCATATGAATTCCTGTATTGTCATTTCCAGGTCTGAGAAGAATGCTGCTGGTAATTTAATGGGTGTTGCATTAAATCTGTAGATTGCCTTGGGTAGATGGGCATCTTAAGTGTTGATTCTTCCAATCCAAGAGCATGGAATATTTTTCCATTTGTTTGTGTCATCTTTGATTTCTTTGAGCAGTGTTTTATGGTTTTCATTGTAAAGGTCTTTCACGTCTTTGGTTAGGAAGATGCCAAGATATTTCATTTTTTTAATGGCTATTGTGAGTGGAATTGTGCTTTTTATTTGGGTTTCTGTTTGTTGATTGTTGGGGTATAGAAATATGACTGTCTTTTGCACATTTTTTTTTACTGATAATGTCCTTTATCAGTGCAAGGAGGTTTTTGACAGATTCTCCTGGGTTTTCAAGGTATAGAATCATGTTGTCTGCAAAGAGGGATAACTTGACTTCCTCTTTTCCTATTTGGATACACCGGATCTCCTTCTCTTGTCTGATTGCTGTAACTAGGACTTCCAAAACTATGTTGCAAAGAAGGGGTGAGAGTGGGCATCCTTGTCTTGTTCCTGTTTTCTGGGGAAGTGGTTTTAATTTCTGTCTGTTTAGCAGTATGTTGGCTGTGGGTTTCTCGTAGATAGCTCTTACTATTTTGAGGTATGTTCTATCTACACCTAGATGTTTGAAGGTTTTTATCTTTCAAAAGCTTTTTCCACATCTAATGATATAATCATGTTTTGTTTTGTTTTTAACATCTGGTGATGTATTTAATTAGGCTTATGGTCTTGCAAATGTTGAACCAGCCCTGTATCCTGGGGATGAAGCCTACTTGGTCATGGTGGATGAGTTTTAAGACGTGTTGTTGGATCCGGTTTGCTAGGATCTTATTGAAAATTTAACATCTATGTTCATCAAGAATATTATCCTGTAGTTCCCTTTCTTTGTTGGATCTTTACCTGGTTTGAGTATCAGTGTGATGTTACCTTCATAAAATGTTTTGGGGAGAGTTTGTTCCATCTTTCTCAATTGCCTGCAATACTTTCAATAGAATTGGTATCAGTTCCTCCTTGTATGTTTTGTAGAATTCTGCTGGAAAGCCATCTGGCCTAGGGCTCCTTTTTTGTAAATAGTTTTCTTATGACATTAGTCATTTTCCTGAATTGTTATTAGTTTATTTGGGGTCTTGATTTCTTCTTGTTTCAACCTGGGGTGGTTGTATGATACCAGAATGACCTCCTTTTCCTTTAGGTTTTCAAGTTTGTTTCCATACAAGTGTACATAGTAGTATCTAATAATCTTTTGTATTTCTTTTGGTTTAGTTGTGACTTGATCTTTTGCATTTCTGATTGCGTTTATTTGGTCTTTTTCTTTTTTTTCTTGGACAGTGTAGCTAGGGTGTCCTTCAGTCTTGCTTATCCTTTCAAAGAACCAGATTTTTGTTTCATTTATGTTTTTTATTACATTTTTGTCCTCTGTGTCCCGAATTTGGACTTTTATTTTTGTGATCTGGATTCTTTTGCTGAAGTTAGGGTTTTCATGTTCTTGCTTTGCCAGCTTCCTTAGGTGATTTTTTTAGGCTGCTAACTTGTGATCTTTCCATTTTCTTCATGTGTGTTCATAGAGATATGAATTCCCCTCTGTTTTCATGGCATCCCAGAGTTTTTGGTAAGATGTTTCTTCATTTTCATTTGTTTACAGGTATTTTTTATTCTCTGTTTTGATTTCCATGTTGAACCAGGAGTTATTTAGCATCATGCTATTCAGTGTCTATGTCTTTGTGGGTTTTGGGGGAACTTTGTAGTTGTTGATATTTATTTTTATTCCACTGTGATCTGAGAAGGTGCATGGCAGTATTTCAGTCTTAATGCAATTTGCTTATGCTTGATTTATGGTTGAGGATGTGGTCAATCTTAGAGTACATTCCATGTAGTGATGAGAAGAATGTATATTCCGTGGTAGTTGTGTAGAGTGTTCTGTAGGTATCACTAAATCCATTTGGTCAAGCATTAAGTTGAGGTTCCGGATCTCCTTGTTGATTTCTTTTTCTTGATAATCTGTCTAGGGTTGTGAGTAGGGTATTTAAGTTTCCAGCTATGATAGTGTTCGAGTCAGTATCTTTTTTTAGTTTACCTAAAAGCTGCTTTATGAAAGTTGGTGCTCCTATGTTTGGGTGCCTGTATGTTTAGGATGGATATTTCTTGTTAGATGGAGTCTTTTATCATAATGTAGTGGTAACGCATATCTTTTTAAACTTTTGATAGCTTAAAGGGTATTTTGTCTGATATTAAGATCACAACTCCTGCTTTCTTCAGTGTTCTGTTCACCTGAAATTTTGTTTCCCATCCTCTTACTTTAAGTCTGTGAGTGTCCCTTCTGGTAGGATGAGTCTCTTGGAGACAATATATTGTTGCCTTGTGATACATTATCCATTTTGCCATTCTGTGTCTTTTCAGTGGTCCATGAATGGACATTCAGGCTAATTATTGAGATGTGAGAGTTTATCCCTTTCATGAGGTTCTCACAGAGTTGTTCTGACCCCAGGAGGACTCCTTATGGTTGTCACTTTTTATGGCTTTCTCCTGTAAACTAGCAAGTTTATAGTTTAGCCTGTATCTTCCTTAAATCGATGACTTTCCTTTCAATTATCTTTCGCCACAACACCTGCTGTTTCTAGGAACACACTTAGGCTTGAACTTCACTCTCTATTAGAAATGATATCATTTCCTTTGAGAGGAGATCAGTAGCTATCTATTTCAAAACCTGCTTTCCCCATAGGCAAAAAATCTCTAAACCAGGGCTCTGGGGGGCAGGGGGAGGTTAGAGACAGTGGCACCCTTTTCTCTGAGTAGTACCCCACTTTAGGGGCTGAGCAGTCTGTTTGGTGGGGTAAGAGGAGCAGTGACCTGAGACCTTCTCAGCTTGCTTCTCTTGGCACAGAACCACCACATTATAAGCCTGAGCAAGGATGATCAGAACTCTGGTATTCTCAGTGATGCTGAGACCATTCCTGGAGGCCTTAAATGTTTGTTTTTAAAATATATGTTATCAGTTTCACTGGGGTGCTAGTCTGAAGAGCTCCTCACACTTCATCCCAGAAGTTAATTTACAAATATATTTTTTATAAGGCTGTCATTGTCTTAGAATGAAATATGAATCTTGGACCATTTCTCAACACATAGAAGTTACTTCAGTGTGTGAGTGTTTAGAAGAGAAATATTGATGATTATCAAGAAACAAACCACTAATCAATTCATACAAAGTTATTATTTTCAGCACTTTCTGTATTTTATTATATTACTGGCCTTCTATGTTGCAATAAGACAATTGTTAAAATGCTACAAGTAGACTATATTATTATGTTTAAAGAAACAAATATTCCCAAGACAATGTTGATGGTATAGATTAGTGGTGCTTTTGAATAAAATGAATAGTCACATGAAGAAATACTTAGTGTCTTTTAATGGTTTGAATGGAAATATAGCAGATACACTTATCAGTTTGTGAGTGGCAAACACAAATTTCCAAACTATAGACATGTTAGTTGCCTTTCTGAGTAAGTACTTTTCAATCATGAGCAATGTTGAGTCTGAATATTATAGAAGAGTTTCTGTAATGAATGTGCTTTTGACTTAAATACTTCATGCAGACAGCCCCCTTCAGTTTTTAATATTTTATGTTCCTTTTATAGGTTGAGCTTTTTCATAAAGATATAGAAGCTTTCAAAGAAGAATATAAAACAGCTTCATTAGTAGATCAATCACAAGTCAGTCTCTATGAATATTTTCATATATCTCCTATCAAGGTAGGGGAAAAATAGGTCATTTTTATTGTCCTTTATAATTTAAGTCATAGCATATTGATTTGATATGTTTGGGAGGGATGTAGTATTTAAATATATTCTTTAACAATATATAAAATGTGTGACATTAAAATTATAAAGATACATAACAAAGGAATTATCCTTTTACATTTTTTTAAAATAATTTTTTTCATGTGGAACCACCTACAGCATGTGTTTTTATGTTTATAATTTGACCGAATATTATCTTACCTTGATTTTATGTTAAGTTGTTTGGTGACAGTTTTCAAAATTCTATGTATGATAGATTTGTTTTAAATTAATTTATAAAGTAGTATTGATTTAAGAATTGACGATTGACTGGAATCAAATAGAAGTTTTTAATGCAAAATGCATTTGAGTTACTTATACAATAATTGAAGAAAAGTATTATACAACCATATATACAGAATGTATGTACCATACAATACAAAAATGTTTTTTAACTGACTTCATCATACTAACTTAATTCTCTTTTTTGCTTTGGAGTCTCACTCCATCGCCCAGGCTAGAGTGCAGTAGCACACTCACGGCCACCGCAGCCTCGACCTGCTGGGCTCAGGCATCCTTCCACCTCAGCCTACCAAGCAGCTGGAACTACAGGCGCACGCTACCATGCCTGGCTGATTTGGGGTTTTTCTATTTATTTGTTTGTTTGTTTTGTAGCGATAAGTTCTCACTAAGTTACCTGGGCTGGTCTTGAACTTGTGGACTTAGGCAGTCCACTCGCCTCAGCTTCTCAAAGTGCTGGGATTATATACTGAGCCACCGAGCCAGCCCTAACTTAATTCTCATAGTTTAAATATATGCTTTTGAAGATACACATGCTTCTCCATTCATAATAGGTTTATGTCTTGATAAACCATCTAAGTTGAAAATATTGTAAGTCAAAAATGCTTTTAATACTTAAGCCCTGATGACAGAAATAACAGCAGTAAAGAATACTATGATGGAAATAAATAACAAACTAATAAGCATGGAAAGCAGAATTAGCCAAGCAGAAGAAAGAATCTCAGAGCTCGAAGATCAAAACACAGAACTAACCCAAACTGTCAAAAACATAGAAAAGAAGCTTTAAAAAACAGAATAAAACCTTCAAGAGATGAAGAGATTACTTCAAGAGGAAAAAACCTAAGAGTAATTGGCCTTCCTGAGGCAGAGAAAGAAACAGAGGTCACACTCGAACACACATTTCATGAAATCATTCAAGAAAACTTCCCTCATCTCATCAGTGATTCAAAAATTCAAACACAAGAGATTCAGAGAACCCCTGCAAGACAACAAATGAGAAGACCAACTCCCAGGCACATAATAATTCGCCTAAACAAAGTAAGTATAAAAGAAAAAATCCTAAAGTCAACAAGAGGAAAAGGTCAGACTACCTACCAGGGAAGACCAGTTAGAATAGCAGATTTATCTACAGAAACCCTCCAGGCTAGGAGAGCTTGGAGCCCTATCTTTAAAGTTCTAAAAGATAAACAATTTCAACCAAGAATAACGTACCTGCCAAGCTAAGCTTCATCAGTGAGGGAGAATTGAAATCCTTCCCTGATATCCAATCCCTAAGAACCTACACTGCCCCCAGACCACCTCTACAAGAAACACTTAAGAAAGTATTGAACACAGAAGAAAAGGAAAAAAGAACAACAACGTTCTTCACAAGAGTACAGGCAAAAGATTAAAAACACACATGAACCAACTCTAAAGCCAAAAGAAAGACAATACACAAACAGGAAGAACAATAACAACTCTGCAAGAACATTATGATAGGGACCAACTGTCACATTTCAATAATTAGCTTTAATGTGAACGGACTAAATGCACCACTGAAAAGACATAGAATGGCAAAATGGATAAAATATCACCAGGCAACAATTTGTTGCCTTCAAAAGACTCACCTCACTAGAAAGGACACTCACAGACTCAAGGTAAGAGAATGGGAAACAAATTTTCAGACGAAGGGAACACAAAAGAAAGGAAGAGTCGCAATCTTAACTTAGACAAAATACCCTTTAAGCTATAAAAAATTTAAAAAGATACAGAAGACCACTATATATTGATAAAAGGTTCAATTCATCAACAAGAAATATCCATCCTAAACATATATGCACCCAACATAGGAGCACCAACTTTCATAAAGCAGCTTCTAGGTAAACTAAAAAAAGATATCGACTCTAATACCATCATAGCTGGGGACTTCAATACCCCATTCACAACCCTAGACAGATCATCAGGACAAAAAATCAGCAACGAGATCCGAAACCTCAATGTGACTCTTGACCAA